GAAGAAGATTGTAGGTAGCGCAAGAATCTGTGGGCTCACTAGCGCCCTCTGCCTTGAGGCAGGGTACTGTTTGCCTCAACGAGTAACTTTTTAACTGGGTTTTATGGTTAATCTGCAGCCTAAACACGTTACAGAACTACATTTTATACATTATCCAGATTATGGCAAGGCAGAGCATATAACCAGAGTGTTTGAAAGCATTTTATTTGCGATATATAGAGGGACAGCGACACACTATTTGCATCACATACAGTTTGTGAGGATTACATGATCCACTGAGAGGCACAGCAAAGTGCTGCCTCATCGCGCATCTCCTCCATGTATTTGAACGGGACATACGGGAATTCTGCTATTCTTTATTGAAAAAAATTCCTTCGGCATCGGATTCGAACGGCAAAAGGGCCTACAACACACACCAGCCGACAAATATTAACATTTATTATATTTTATGGTTAACTTTTTTTTCTTTTCAAGATTGACAGGCGAGGCTCTGCCTCACCTGCCTCCCCTGACCGCACGTCACTGCTAATCACTCAGGTGCACAGGTAAAACAGTCTGCCCCAGCATCACGACATTTAAATGTAAAGTCTGTTTCTGCTGCTGATCACTGCATCTGATGTTTGTCTCTTCGAGTCCCCTTGTGGAGATTGCACCCTGGCCTTCCACAAGGCCATCACTCTGATGAACACTTAAACCGTGACTGTATAATAGAACCACAGCCCTCAGTGCATTACCTTGAAAATATACCTTTGTATATATCCATCTGAAAACCCAATCTAAACTGTGTATATACACATATTTTATAAGTAGTCTAATGCACATTCCTTTTTCTTTTCTTTTTCTCTCAGTCCTATCTTGTTTACTTGCATACACATTGCTTTACAGAAGAACATTGTACATACACATTGAAAGCCACTGTACCAGAGTCAAATTCCTCATGTGTTCAACACACATGGCCAATGGTTCTGATTCTGAAATTCTGTGCCTGTGACTGTGGACACCTTCATTTATAATATCACAACTTAGACCATTCTGTTTGTTTTTACTGGTTCTCTTACAAGACGCACAGGCGACTGTGGCTCAGGGGGCAGAGCGGATGTTTCCCAACCGAAAGGTTGGAGAGTCCATTCATGGTGTCTGCAGTCCACCTGATGAAGAGTCATTGGGCAAGACACTGAACCCCAAGTTGCCCCCCCATGGCCAGAGTAGCGGCCTGCAGGGACAGGGTGAGTTCAAGGGCTCTCAAAAACAGATATCAACCAGATTATGCTAACAGGCCTACTCCTTTTCCTGTCTTGGAGGAAAAAAAAGGTGACGGAGTGTCATTCATGCAGCACTATACCTATGCCACAGTCAGCTGAGTGACTGAGAGTGAGAGACACTGACAAGTGCAGCCACCGTGATTTGATCACCACCTAGTGGCTGGTTACAGTATACGTCATAAATCTCACATCCTCCAAGTTAGTGGGTGGGACATGAGTCAAGCTAAAAACCACCAGAACAAACCACAAAAACCAACTCTGGGGAAACCCAAAGATCATATCTGTGGCTTTTTGGTAGATATTATCATGCTGATATGTGTACAAGTGGTCATTTTTCTGGTAAGTTTGTTTTTGATAATTTAATGATATAAAAAGGAGCATATTTTTGGTTGATTTGACAGCTTTGATTGGCTGGCTGATGTTGTCACTCTGTATCCAGGGCCCATATTTACAAAGCTTCCTAAGTCCAAAGAGTTACTCCTGGTGACAAAATTCTAAGACAATTTTCTAAGAATGTCCTCTTATGAGCAAATATCCCTGTCTGAAAGAGAATGGTTCCAAATCAGGGTATGAGAGTGTTAGGTATTTTTTAGTCAGATAGGTATTGGTTAGGTACTTGTTGTATTAGAAATGTTTAGTGTAGACAGGATGTCTAGCTCAGGCTGTTAAATGCTTACTCATTTCCAGGAGTTACTCCAGGTTGTTTATGTTCCAGGATAACTAGATAGAAAGTGGCTACTGTATGATATGTTCAGCCGTAATCTTAATCATAATATCTTCCTAGGCTTAATGTCCGGACATGTCCCTGAATGTCCTGTATGTTCTTAGATACACACCACATAATCAACACTCACACACATTGATTTTCTCCATGTTTTGACTACTGCTACAGTCAGCTGTAAAGCTGACATATCAGGTGACGCCACGGTTTGACGTGCCTGTGTAGAATGGGGTTAGCCCAAACCAGATATAATGTACAGGCCTGTTGGGTTCGGGGTCTTTCATAGAGATAGAAGAACAGCCAGCACTTCAAGATGGGCAACTACAGGACCAAACTCAGCAGGGCTGGCATAAAGGATGTGGCTGTGAATGCAAGAAGGTGCAGCAGGACCAATCCCGAGGGTGCAGCATCCAGGCCCAAGATCAAGAGTCCCAGAAGAGGGGAAGTCAACTTCCTTCCCAATTATCCCAGTGGAGAAACTAAGGGCACACTGAAGACCCAGACACTTGAGATGTTGGAACAGTTCAAGAAGAAGGAGACATGATTCTAAGCCATCAACACATGCAGTGCACCTTTGCACTCAGGTGAGAAGAAATTCTGAATTCAGCTCCTCCCAGTGCTGAACTACAGAATAGTTGGCCTACAAAAAATAACCAAAAAATAAACCAAAAATACACCTAAAACTTTAACACATATTTTGTCAGTTATAGTTATGGATAAATAGATTGAAATGAATAGTTGAAAATGTATGTCGACTTGTCTGAAACTCCTGTTTTCCCCTTCATGTTGAATTTCTTACAAATACAAAAACACATTATGGAAGTGCTTTTTTAACCTGTGTTTTTGTTTTTCATGCAGCTCTACAGTGAATTCCACCAGATCACCAGTCAGAATGTACCATTTTCCTTCTTTGCTGCCTTTGACAAATGCATACCTCAGCTGCTAAAGCTCTACGGAAAGAGGAGTATGGGGTTTGGGGTGAGAAGATGTTAGAGCCTCTGATGCCATATGAAGAACAAGTGGTTAATACATTACATTTATACTAAATGTGAACAGTGGGCCTTAACACACCCCTATGCATACTGTGCTAGAACAGCAGCCCTGGCCAGTCTACTGCTGTACTTGAAGTAGAATTCATCATGTCTTCATCTATTTTGCAACAAGAAATCAAACATATAAAACAAACAAACAAATCAGAACTAAGAGTTTGACATCATTTTTGCTGTGCAGTGCTATAGAGACATGAAACATGCTAGGTCTTTCCCCATAATACTTTTCTATGGGGCTAATAAGTGTAACATCAATGATTCAGTTACTTAGTCTTCATAGGCTTGTGTTCCCCCTTAACTCAGTGCTGACTGTTGACAGTTATGGCACAAGCGTAGAATTAGGAAGACTGTCATTTAGGCTGGCTATTTCATCATGACTATAATCTAAAGTAGGACAGACATACTGTATACTGAACATTTAAGCCAGTTACATACATTAAAACGTATCAGTGTTACTAAATTATAAAACTGAGAACCCACAGAGAGAACAAGCAGACTCCGCACAGAAAGGCCCTGGGTCAGTCCAGGCTCAAACCTTATTGCTGTGAGGTGATGGTGCTAACCACTGCGTGGGACATTGCGTAGAAGGTTCTAACAATCACTGCTGAATTTTTCACATGCAATGTATTGCGTTTGGGGGGAAATGACCATGGGGATGTTGGTACACAAATCCACCTGAGCAGCACCAGGGGCCTGAGACCTTGCCGCCCATGATGCATGGAGACCTGGAGAGAGAGCTACCACTGAGTGCAGGACAGGGTGGAGAGCTACCTGCATGCCTGCAGAATGGTTGTCATCCGGTTGCTTGTAACACAAGGAAGGTTGGGGCACATCAATCAAAGTCATAAATCTGTCTGTTCACAACTCAAATGACTGAAGCTGCATCCTATTACTCTCTTATCCCTCTAATGTGAACTACTGCCGGGTACATAGCTAGTGAATTTTTGTCAATAAAGTTTTATTTATCAGATTTTAAAAAGTAACTTGTAGCTAAAGTTATAAATTAAATGTAGTGAGTAAAACACAATATTTGACTCTAAAATGTATTGAAGTCAAAATATGTAGTAGGAAATAAAAATACTCAAGTACTGTTACCATAACACTGTACGTAAGTAAATGTATTTAGTTACTTTCCACTGTCTTTTGGTTTGCAGTCTTACAAGCCTGGTCAAAGTCTATTCAGTGTAGTACTTGCACAAAGAACTGAGTGTCTGAGGTGGAGTCTGTGTCTGATTTGGAATAATGATGTAATAATTTGCTTTGGATAAACTTGTTAAAGGTACATTATGTTTCTTCAGTGTAAAGATTTGCTGCTACATCTACTGGATGACAACAGATGTAACACTGGACATTATTGGAAAATTTTAAATCCTTACATCTCAATTGTTTAAAAAAAAAGTAATAAGAAAAACAACTTGATAGGTAAGAATTCACATGCAAAGAAACTGCTCAGTGATGCAATGTGTATTTATTAAAGTATTTATTTTCATTATATGTACATTTTAATATTAGAATAGCCCAACAACAGAATAATAAATTAAGATGAATAAAAATATAAAAACATTGAAAAAACCAGACTGCATCATAAACCTTACATCTTCTTTGGAGGTTTTTGTCATCTCTAAACCTCATATATTATAAGAGTCGTACAGGTATGTGTGCAATCATCTTTCTGTTGGTCACACAGATGAACTCGTCTCCATTCAGTTTTCTTTTAACATCCCTAAAGAACAGTGTAAAATTCACATCTGAAGAGATTTTATGATACATGTTTTTTATCTTTACATCCCAGTTTTTTCAGTTTGGTCAGATGCATAAATTGGCCACTACAAAACTCTTTAGAACTGAAATACTAAAACATGACCAGCCAAGTAGACACTAATGTTAGAGTAATCTTAGCTCTTTTTACGTGCTTTGTTCTTCACAAAGCACTTTGTGAGACATATTTATAGATTTCAACTGGTCTTCGTGCCAGTTTTTCTCTGTTTTCTTTTCCTCCCTGTCCTTCTCTGTATTTCCATACAGTATGTACGTTGTTCTTAGAAAGCACTTGACAAGAAAAGGGAAAACAGCTTCACATTTCTGGGGGTCAACTGGTGCAGAAGGAGCAGTAAATCCCCCCTGACACGTCAGTGATGGTTCCATCTTTGACGAGAATTCGGAGGAGTTCTGTTTCTTTGTCCACATTGTGCATATACTGCTGAAGCATTGCGCTCATGGGCATACTGTCGTGGTAATGCAGTGGCATCCTGTGATCGGAGAAATTGTAGCCGAAGCCTGCCAGGCTGACCTCGTCACACAGCAGACTGGCTAGATTCAGAGCAGAGACCCCCAGGGTAGGCACATTCTGCAGACCCATGATATAAAATGTAAAATATAAAAGTCAGTCTCACTCAAGGTGGTACAGTATATGCTAAACCCCAGGAAATAAATGTGCTGTATCAGAAGACAAGAATGATCTTAATTCTTCTATTAATGGCTCCCCTGGGCTCAGTCTTTAAATCTTCAATATGAGTTCAGATAATGTTTAGCTGGAAGTTCATAATTACAATGGGGACTACAAATGGTAACACTGGTTTGATTACTGCCAGTATTGCAATATCCAAAACCAACAACAAGAGGGAGCCCCAGTGCATGTGAAGGGAAGCTGCATTTTGTCATGGGTAGGGTGGGGGGTGGGGTGGGGTGCACCACCACACACTAACTTTAAATTTGTCTTAACATTTCCATATATATCTTCTGGTTATCTTGTTCAAATCCATTTCATTATATAAGACGGATCTGGCCAAGATAATCACACTATGAGGTTTTAGAGTTCACAGGGCTGCAGTAAAAGAAAAAACAAAGACAGCACCTCGGTAGATGAGAATATACTGTATGTAAAGTAATCTGACATTTATCTATGTTTTTATTTATTTTTCTTAATTATCAAGTGTCATGGATATTAATTAATTAATTTAGAAGTTGCATAATGTTTGTCAGTTGTGACAGCACAGAGACTGATGGTGTGTTCCCACTATCGGAACCCAACAAGCAGTAAGCCCGGTACTTTGCCCAGCAAACCCCCTGTACCCCCTCCCACATGCAGTCAGCTGAGCAGAGGAAGAAGCTTTTAGTTATTGTCACTGTAACATTGTGACACGTACAACAAAATTATGTTTGGAGCCGAGGGCCCCGGGCCGCTGCCTGCATACACGCCACCATCACGGGCACTGGGGGGGTTCAGTGTCTTGCCCAAGGACACTTCGACATGTGGACTGCAGGCGAAGACGACCACCGCACCACTGTCACCTCCCAAATGATGATGTGAAGGATCACTCCTCAGCCAGTAATGGAGACTGGCAGTTTATCAAACAACTGTTGACCAAGCAGGACACAGACCTGCAGAAATATCTTCATCACTGAAGTCCCTGTTTCGTCTCTAAACCAGCAAGTAGGGCTGCAGTAGTATACCGGTTTCACAGTAAGCCATGGTATGAAAATTGATGGCTATCATAACATGGACATTTTCTTATTACAGGTATTGAAAAGAAAAACACACTGCATGCACACCTTTCTTCCCTGACTGCCTGTCAGACTCTGCAACGGGCACCACACACAGTGGAAAAATGGCAGAGGGGAGGCGGCTGATGGCCTGTCACTAAACTCCATCCACCAGAAAAGAAATTAAGATAAGCACCGTGTACCAAAAATGAACATCATCCCTCTGCACACTTTAAAGTATGTCCTGTTTATAACTAATCCCAAACAATAAGCTTCAGTTATAAAACACGCTATCAAAATCATTTTCCACATTAACTGTTTGTTGGTCATTGTTTAGAGGAGGGAGGGGCTGTACCCCCTCCCACATGCAGTCAGCTGAGCAGAGGAAGAAGCTTTTAGCTTTTAGAAGCTTTTTCGTTAATCTCTGATTTACAAAAGAACTCGCACTGATCTCGATCTGACCCCAGTGACACACACAAACTTCTCGGCTCACATAAATGAGCATGTGTGTGTGACTGAACAGTTGCACAAAATAGTTCAAAACGGCTTCACCTCAACCAGCTACAACGGTCTAGTCCTGCTTCTGAAACAATGCATGAGTGATGGGCTATTAATATAATTACATAATATATAACATTTTTCTGCACTGAGTAACCTACTAATACTATTAATACTTTACGTTTTTATGTTAATACTTATTTCTACTTAACATTATTAATGAAGGACTTTTACAGTGTGATATTAGTACTTTTACTTAAGTAAATGATGTGAATACTTCCTCTACTACTGGTGCTAAGATGCAAACTAACATGCTTTAGTTATATAATATAGTTACATGCCATTTTTAAAAATCATCTTTATAATTCTGTTTATTTCTTTGGGTCAATCTAGAGCTGCAGTCCAGCTCAATCAATAGTACATAACGCCCATGACGAGCGTTACTCTGCTTGACCTATTTTAATGTACCCTGTAATGTACCCTGGTATGAGAAATGTCTATTACCTGGTCACTGCCCCACAGACGTGATGTGGGTGCAGGGTATTTCAGTAGATAAAATGCAGTCTCTTCGATGACCTGTGGGTTTAGAAGCCGGAACCTGTGGGGCTTAACGGGGACCTGATCTGGAATGCTCTTCCAGAAAAAAAGTCGGTCCCACAGAGACTGCAACACAAAGCACAGGTGTGTTACAGCCAGGACTCAAACAGTGCAAAGTTTGTTTATACTGTAAAAAAAAGACTACAGATCAGCTTTTGAATCTCAATCACAATGAGCAAACCAATAACAGGAAATTCCCACACTGCTGACAACAGGCATTTGGGCGTGAAGAAGAAAACCGGTGAGTCGAGTCTGACATTAATTACATCCACTTGCAGGTATGCTTTCAAGTTGACTGTGAAGTGTAATGTGACCATAATTGGCACCAAATTTTTGGCAACAGCTACATATTATAATATGGTATTTATAGCTACATTTATATGATTTAAGTGACTGTTTATGTAGTATAACTCAATTTTTACATTGTTAATGTTTATTCTTTCCAGTGACACTCACTAGTTTCTCTTAATTCTGTGTTGTATCATTCTTCAAAATGTTCCAAACTCAAATTAAATTTAAATTTGTGATCCTTTTGATTTTATCAGACTAATCTGGATTCTTGATTTATGATTCAGCTCACCTTAGAGATGTAATTGTTTTGCTTCTTCTATTTGATACATAATAAAATCTAGCTTTATCAAATCAGTATAGGACACATACACTAACACTACTCACCACAGCATTCTTGCTGATCATAGCAGACATCCAGTTGATGTCTACACGTTTATACGTCACACCTACAAACAGAGTGTGTGGGTCTCTGTCCACCCAGGGGTGTGGCGTGCCCTCTGGGTAACTCATTCTGATGCTGGTTCGATTTCCAACGTCAACACTGAACCCTTCCAGAGGGCCACTATTTAGCCTGTAGGAGGGGGCACAGACGATGATTAACTGATATTAATGGAATAAACTAACTTGTGGTTTTCATTGATTCCACACAGTAATGATGACTATTACCAGAACATGTGGTGCTAGAGTCCAACCAAAAACTCAAGCATGGATTCACCACATACTGTACATAGGTACTTGTTTTTTTGTCAAGCATGTTGTTGTTAACTCAACATGTTAAGAGCATCTACACTCTTCTGGACATCATTTCTTGTCACAGCTCCAAGAAACACTGCCAGGGGACTAATTATATGCAAACCTTACCTGATTATGGTGTCAAAATGATTTATTAGTGGGCCAAGCTCCAGGCCTCTGAGAATGCCTCCATTTCCCACAACCATGCAACGCTGACAACGTTCTGTCTTCTTCATCTGTGAAGTGTCGTCTGAGTTTGGAAGCTTTTAAGGAAAATTTAAAAGCAGAATCATTATTTTTATGGTCTGCACTTACTGTTAAGGATGCACTTCTGTTTTATTAAAGATGTGAAGGCGTCTTTAATTTAAATTAGATTAGTGAAAATAAATTGAAGATATCTTGAATTTGAAGTTTAGGCTCACTCTGTAGAGGTAAACTGTGTCCTACTAGTTAGAATGCAGTCTGAGATATCATACATTTGTTTTCATTAGTCACAAATGAAATGGCTATAATGTGAATAGTCACGTCAAGCTGTTATATTACTGTATTATTACATGTTTTCGTGTTATTTAAGTCATTATAGAAACTTGGGGCAGTAAATAAGTATTTGCAGATTGTAGTAGACAAACTGGATCATGAATTATCAAGAAAATGATGTTTATCAAATTTCTTACATCATCATTCTGAGAAAGATGGATCACATTAATTATTCCTACTCAAACTATGTTTGTCGACGTTGCAAAAATAATTTTTGTCAGTCAGGTCTCAAGCCGTTTATAAGCTCAACTGTTGTACCTAATGAGGTGTGTCACTGCCCTAGATCTGCATGTGGAATGTCTGGCAGTCTACAAAACAGGTTAAATGCTTCTTATCACACACAAAGCTTTTAGTGGGTTTTAGTACGTATGTCACAGTCAGGAACACAAGTGAATATGGCTACCCTATACACTAAATAATTGTTAAATTCTGGCTAAATTAGAAAGAAAACAGTAAAATGATGGACAGATAAAAAGTTATATTCACCAGCTTTAGCAGGTCCTCTACTCTGCCCTGATGACCTTTGAACCCAAATGGTGGTGGATACTGGAAAAGTTCATCAGGGAGCGGCATGTTCTTCCACAGGAAAGGCTGAGTCCTGTGACTAGAAGCAGGAAGTCGAGCTAACAGTCTCTGCCTAGTGCTGCCGGGACGACACTGACTGTCCAGCACACTTTGTGCGTGCTCGTGCACCTTCTGTAAGTAAAACAAAAGGTTGTGAAAGCAAAGTGTAAGCACAGGGTAACTAGTAGTATCACCAGAACGTGTTCCACTGCAGCAGACCTTCTGGTTATAATATGTATACCATTTACTTTTTTTCCTCTAATGCCAGTTTGCTTCTCTTTGTTTTGTCATACAATATATAGGCAAACATAGTAGAAACCACTGTGATGAAATCATCACCTGCTGTCCCTTCCAACAAACAGAAGCTTTCCAAAGCATTAGCTAAACATTAAATACCAATTAACAAAAGCTTTTCCTATTTGACTTCAGGATCTTTTGAAGGTGTTCTGAGTATCTGCCCAATTATTTTTGAACCCCTAAACTTTGTGCAGTGTGTCTCTAAAAGACTATATTCCCAAAACATTTCTTTCTATACTGATGTAAACTTACTCAAATTAAAGCTGAGACTTGTCACTTTAATGTATAGGAGTAAGTATTATTTTATTCCAAACCAAATAACTTTGGTTTTCTCCAGCTCCAGTCTGAAATTTCTGCTCTGTTCCCTTTTTCCTGTTATATTGCAATCATCTGGGGCAAAATGATGGTTTTACTCCATTATAGATACAGTGGTGTGAAAAAGTGTTTGCCCCCTTACTGATTTCTTATCTTTTTGCATGTTTGTCACACTGTAATGTTTCAGATCGTCAAACAAATTTATATATTAGTCAAAGATAACACAAGTAAACACATCATGCAGTTTTTAAATGAAGGTTTTTATTATTAAGGGAAAACAAAATCCAAAACTATAGAGCCCTGTGTGAACAAGTGTTTGCCCCCCTGTCAAAACACTGGTTTATCGCACCTGAGTTCAATTTCTCTTGCCACACCTGTTCGCAATCAAGAAATCACTTAAATAGGACCTGCCTGACAAAGTGAAGTAGACCAAAAGATCCTCAAAAGCTAGACATCATGCCGAGATCCAAAGAAATTCAAAAACAAATGAGAAAGAGAATAATGGAGCTCTATCAGTCCGGAAAAGGTTATAAAGCCATTTCTAAAGCTTTGGGACGGCAGCGAACCACAGTGAGAGCCATTATCCACAAATGGCGAAAACATGGAACAGTGGAGAACCTTCCCAGGAGTGGCCGGCCGACCAAAATTACCCCAAGAGCACAGCGACAACTCATCCAAGAGGTCACAAAAGACCCCACAACAACATCCAAAGAACTGCAGGCCTCACTTGCCTCAGTTAAGGTGAGTGTTCATGACTCCACCATAAGAAAGAGACTGGGCAAAAATGGTTTGCATGGCAGAGTTCCAAGACAAAAACCACTGCTGAGCAGACGAGCCTTTATGTTCTTTTTGCTCAGCAGTGGTTTTCGTCTTGGAACTCTGCCATGCAAACCATTTTTGCCCAGTCTCTTTCTTATGGTGGAGTCATGAACACTCACCTTAACTGAGGCAAGTGAGGCCTGCAGTTCTTTGGATGTTGTTGTGGGGTCTTTTGTGACCTCTTGGATGAGTTGTCGCTGCGCTCTTGGGGTAATTTTGGTCGGCCGGCCACTCCTGGGAAGGTTCTCCACTGTTCCATGTTTTCGCCATTTGTGGATAATGGCTCTCCCTGTGGTTCGCTGCAGTCCCAAAGCTTTAGAAATGGCTTTATAACCTTTTCCGGACTGATAGAGCTTCATTATTCTCTTTCTCATTTGTTTTTGAATTTCTTTGGATCTCGGCATGATGTCTAGCTTTTGATGATCTTTTGGTCTACTTCACTTTGTCAGGCAGGTCCTATTTAAGTGATTTCTTGATTGCGAACAGGTGTGGCAGTAATCAGGCCTGGGTGTGGCTATAGAAATTGAACTCAGGTGCGATAAACCAGTGTTTTGACAGGGGGGCAAACACTTGTTCACACAGGGCTATATAGTTTTGGATTTTGTTTTCCCTTAATAATAAAAACCTTCATTTAAAAACTGCATGATGTGTTTACTTGTGTTATCTTTGACTAATATATAAATTTGTTTGACGATCTGAAACATTACAGTGTGACAAACATGCAAAAAGATAAGAAATCAGTAAGGGGGCAAACACTTTTTCACACCACTGTATTTTATACAACTGTCATTTTAACTTTCACTTTTGAATACCAATAACTTTCAGTATACAGTAGTCATAAAAGCTCTACCTTACGCTCACCTTTTTGTGTTCAGGGCTGACATGCCACTCCAGGGGTTTGTGTGTCGTTTTTGAAATCAGTGGTAGAAAGAATATCACCAATAACAGCAAACCTAAAACCACAGTGATCATGTATCCACGCCTGGAGAGACACAAACACACAGAGCCAGGTGGGTCTTTTAGAGTATGATCTATTGTGTTTCAATGACACAAGTAAATATCACCATTGTTGAAATGGTGTAATGATTCATAACATTGTTAAACACTTAAAATGTTCAGCTCTTCAAGGACATTCATGCTTCTATTCAGAACCTTTCTAAACTCCATACTTCTTAAATATATAGATTTATTTTGAAAGTTTTGCACCATTCAAAAGAATGGGGAAATTCTACTTCAGCATACTTTCAGCTCGCAAAACCATTCAGGTGACAAAGTCTTCAGCATATTCTGGGCGATCTTTTAGCAATTCGCATCCACACACGCATTTTCAACAGGAAATGCAGTTTTCTAGTTTGTGAATGTAATTTCCTGATTCCTAGTTTGATAATGTAGGTGGTGACTGGAATTGTGTCATGCAAATTTTTACCACTGTGATGACAATGAAGTTGTTTGAATTTGGACACAGAGGACTGAGATGCAGACTCAGAATGAGAATGTGGTGGCTAGAGGAATCAGAACTTTAATAAGCATTATAGCCATTGCTCTAAACTAACATTTCATACGGGTCTTTCAAATGGTAGCACTAGATGTGGTTGCACCTGCTTCCATTTTACAACATAATGTCAAATAGAATATGTATTATCTACTAATTGTCTGAAGTGACTACTGTCTGATACGCATGGATTTTGCATTTATGATAAAATCAGGGAGACCGAGAGACTTGCATCATGTGAAACATAAACGGGGGGATGAGTTCCCACCCCTTATGTGTGGGGCTCTGATGATTTATGACGACATGGCCTGGCACCCCCCTCGTTGGGGCCAAATAATGGGTAAACACTGATTAACTCATATACATAGACGCCATATGATTGCTCTCCCATTCTATGGCACATTTGTGTATTATTGACTGTAATTTAGACATTTAAAAATGTTTTTCTAATCTGCCAAATGGAAACATGCTAACACCAACATATAGGCATCTTTGGCAACCAATATGACAGAAAAAACTAATAATAAAAACCATCATGGATATAAAAGCATTAACAACTATCACGGAATTACTTCAATAATGAAGAAAACTTTGTATTACTATACGATATCACTATATTGTGATTATTCTTAGTTCAAGTTCTGAAGAATCTTTATATAATTTCTAAATGCATTTGTGTAGGTTTATTGGCAATGGACATCACAGATAAGTGAATTGCCCACAAAGGATACAATAGTTTTTCAGAATCATGTGTTTATTAGGGGTGTGCATATGGAAATTAGGAAACACTGTGTGCAGAGACTGACCACATATTTGAAAAACAGATGGCTATTTTCTTGCCTGGAAATTATTAAATTAAATAAAAAATTTAATGAAGTTGCATCATAACAGTTTTAGGATGACAATTGTGACAGCTTTGAGCCTACCCTGCCACCACCGTGGGCTGATGGGATAATGTAGTTTCCACTGCTTCCATACTATAAAGTTATGCCAGTCATTCGGGTATTACTTGCATACATATTTTCCATACTAAGAATTCAGACTTAACACTTGTCTTGCATACACATTTTAGCCTGCTATGTAGTAGGCAAGCAGGCAATTTCAGACGCCACTGTCTTCACCAACCTCACGTGATGTGGTGCACTCAAAGGCTAATGTTTCAGGTTATTCAGAGTGTACAAAAGCATTAGCCCACTAAAAACAGGTCATAAACATTCACTGTTATTCTAATTTTATGTCACACATTGCCCTGATTTTAGCTGCCAGCTCATGGTGAGATCTGACAGTTTACTCTCAAAAAGAAAATACAAAAATTATTTTACAGGATGACCCAGTGTTTTTCCATGACAATTTACAATTTATCTCAATTTCCATGATTTTTCCACTGACTGGAAAACTGGTTTAAAAAAATTCCAGGATTTCCAGGATGCACGGGAACATGATGGAAACTGAATCTGCTCTAAAACCAGGCCGAATCCATACATTGTCTGCTCGGCTTTAAGTGAGTGGCTACATCAACCTAAACACAGTAAAAGTGACAACATGAAACAGACAGCCTAATAATAATAATAAAAATAATAATAATAATAATAATAAAGAAAATAAGTGACAATAAATGAACAGCAGAATAATAATGGGAACCGGGTGTCGAGCTAGGAGGGTAACACAGTCAATGGTGGAGATGATGAGAAGAGGACCGGGCTGCGGACACTGGGACTCACTCCTGGACTGGTCGAGTGGGATGCAACTGAAGATGAACAGAAATAGTACATACGGTGAGTAGAAGACTGTGCATCGACCTGCAGGGTGGTGATGAAGTAGAGTGGAGGAGGTCCGTGGTCCGAAGGAGCGACTGAGGCGAGGAGGGAATGAATCCAAGCAGCTTGATAGAAGGAGACAAAAACACTAATACTGATCAAAAAGAACAACGGGGAACAAACGGGCCTGAGAAAAGCTAGAAAGAACTGGCAGGGGAGTGAACGAAGAGCAGGGACTAAATAGAGAGAAACTAATCAGGTGCAGCTGGAAGTAAGCAGGTGTAAAGGATAGTATAATCAGGGTAAGGGAGAGAAAACAGAGTGAGGGGAGTGAGAAAGTAGGTGCAGCCGAGCAAACCTGACAGGAAAACCAATTGTATCTTGTAAAGTACTTTGGTCAACCAGACATTTTTAAAGTGCTATATAAATAAATTTTGATTTTGATTTGCGCAGGTATGTGGCTAAATCAAGAAAACACCACAGCAGGGTTAATGATAATCTACAAAAATGGGGAGACAGGAGAGTAAACAAAAGGCAGACAACTTACCTGTCCATATCTAAAAGGGTTCAAACAAACAAGCAAAGCAAACAATGCAAATAATGTCAGAGCCGACAGGAAAATCTGGTGATGAATGAGCAGTGTCAGTCAGTGAAAGTTCTGAGCTGACACTGCACAGATGAATGTAGGTGGAGCTGACTGGTAAAGGGAGCCGCAAAATGCAACAGAGATGGCTTAATTTCAAACAGGAATATGATCTGCCTGTTGTACAACTCTTGAATGGTGCCTAGTAAAAGATTCTAATCTTAGTGAACAGTGAAATATTCAAGAGCTTTTGGGGATGGAAATGAAAAACCAATGTTTTTTTGAATGTCACTGTTGCTGCCAAAACCCCAGAAGCTATGGCTCACTTTAATGTTTAGAGACAACTGAAAGGTGCTGATGCTAAAACCAGTTTGTCTGGTTGTCAGTTTATAAAAAAGCAGCAGCCATCCTGTCAGGTTTGCCCGGCTGCACCTTCCTTTCTTCTCTTTTCTCGCCCTAGTCAGCTCCCTCACACTGATTATTTGATTAGACACACCTGCCCTGATTTTCTGACACTCATCAGCTGCACCTCTTTTGTCTCACTCCTCATTTATACTCTGCTCACCCGTCACTCCCCTGCTAGTTCTTTCTACGTCATCAGACCTCCCTAGGATTATTGCTCTTTCTTGTTTATTCCGTTATTCTACGTATGTTTGTGTGTTCACTGCTTCCTTCTACGTTTGGACCTCTCCTCTGGATCCTGGCACCCTCAGCTCCACCAGCCACCACCATCACAGGTCGATGCACAGTCTCCAATTTAACTGTATCTCTCCTATTACCTCCTCAGTCAACCGGATCTCCTGCCCGACCAGCCCAGGAGTGATTCCAACCCCTGCAGCCCGGTCCATCATCACTCCACGTACCATAACTCCTACTACTGTTGGTCGACACCCGGTTATATTCACCACTTCACTTTGTATATATTGTTGCACTACTTAAACACTGTAAATAAATCTTTGCTTGCACCGAAGCCAGCCGCCTGGGTCTGCTGTTTTCTCCGCTCGCTCACCCTTGTGTCGAGCGTTTCCATAACACATCCTTTCTGGGTTAAAGTTAGGTTATTCTTTAAATGTATTTTCCCACAGATCAATGAATCTAAATATGCATCAACGCTATTCCAAGCCACCCAAAGGTCACCAAGATCTAGAATTCACTGCAGCCAGAGTTTTGACTTACTTACTCGTTAATGGGTGGACATTGTGTTGCAGCTAAAAGTACCTCTTTACCCATCTGGCAGTGGTTTGGATTAATAAAACTAAACAAAAAGCTAATCAAAGTTATTATGTAATATTTAATGTAACAGATCGTAACCATTTGCTTATACACAAAATGTATTCTACATTTCCATCACTGATGTGAGATTTACTGATAGTTTTAACCATGAAGACATCTCACTTGGAACTACAGAGAAGCCATAGTTCACTCTGATTATTCAGTGCTGTTACAGAGTGATCTGTAAAGACATCATAAATGATCTTCGGCTAACAGCAAAGAGCCTGTTGTCTGTTTGTCCACCAGCTGAAGTGAGGACACAAACCCGACAACAGCCACTCTGATTTTGTACTATCTTCAATTTAAGTCACGGGGCCCTATTTTGCAAACAACGCATAGTGTGCGGTACAGGCAGCGTTGTCTGTTTTTCCTAATTTCCTACCTGCACCATCACTGTTTTCATGACACGCACATCATGTTGCCTTTTTACCAAGCAGCAGTCTATCGACTTTGCACCAGCAGGTGTGTCTGGATGAAAATGGGGACACAGAGGGTGGGGCAAATATTCGAATACTAAAATTGAAAACTGATTATCTTCCCAACTAACAAATATTCTAATATTTGGATACTTGGGTCCAGCCCTAAAAAACAAACAAACAAAAAAAAAAACAACCCAGTTTCAACCCTAGTTCTGATAGGTGCAAACAAAAAAAATTCATAATTTGAATTTGAAATAAAAGCGGATGTTTAACAGTATAATATGGTTTAATGCAGGATTGTTTTCTCTAAATATTAATAGTTGTAAATTAAATAAGTATTTAAGTAATACTAAACAAAATATTTTTGTAGCTCCCTTTTTAACAAAAAAAAAAATTTCTCCCTCTAGTTTTGATTAGTTTAGTGATGTTTCTCTTTAAATTAAATTAAAATGAAATTAA